AGAAAAATCTGGGATTTGTAAAGCACAGGGGTTTTGTCGATTGGTTGAATTTTAAGACATTATTTACACCAATTCCATTGAAAGTGTTGACAAGATTTAATAAAGACCAGACTAGAAGAGACAACGGCATAAGCATTTTATATAAACAGCAATGGCGGTGGCAGCAGAAACAGTGATTAGACCAAACTCGTGTCCCATGAGCATATAGGTGGTTGCACAAACAGGTTTAATAACCCGCGGGTCTCCATCATGGTCAGAGTGAAGAGAGTAGCACATGCGAACAGACACAGTGCTTCAGTGTCCCCCACAAGGTGTACATCTATAATAATTGGTGTATAGCCCACCACGGCTATCCACCCTCGTACCCAAGATTACACAATCACAATGCAGCAGACACGACACATCAACGGTGGCTGTGCTTGAAGGCTTAAGTGCAATTTCTCATACTTCATTGCCATGCAAATTCAGGAAATGGTCGCATACATGTAGATATATCCAGCAAGAAATGAGACCGTTGGGGTACCCCCAAACATGTCCAATTGCTATACACCGTGGCACTCTAGACTATTATCTAACACATCCCCCCCTTGATGTCTGAATAGAATTCCTCAGATTCCAGTGAAACAGTGACCAACACAAAGCAGGGGGGTTCTCTCCCTCTCATATCTTGCTTCATGTGAGCATAGAAAGGCATATAGATTCAAGTCTATAAAGTTGGGGTAGGGGCTGGCAGTGTTGTATTCAAGTCCCTGCAAGTCTCTGTAAGTCCATCACAAGTCATTCAAATGAGCTGTGACAAAAGTGTTCTTTTGTCATTGTCCACCCTGTTACTTATGACTAGCCTTGTAAAAGGACTTGTGATGGACTCGAGTACAACACTAGGGGCTGGACATTTAGTAACATGAGGGAGGGGTGCTGTTTACTGTACAGAATATGCATGTATATTATTTCTCATTTGTGCATAAAATTGGCATAAATTTACATGAAATTTGCATCAACCTCATCCCCCCTAACAAAGCTCCTTCCCCTGGGATCTACCCCATTATTTCGTGCAGTTGGGGATGTTCACAGAAAATGGTAAATATCAGTGAAGAACCATAGTGGGTTATGGCAGACTTCATGGGATACTTCTCTCTAGTACATGCTTGGCAGTATGGGTTGTATAGTTGAATCAAAAGGGAGTGAATCATTCAGTTAAATTTATATCAAAGTTGATGCTATAGCATTGCAAGAAAGGGAGTGTGAAGGGGGGGCGGGGCTAGGGTTGGCAGAATAATTTTCTTTGAGCAGAAGTGCCACCAGTGACATCATAATCGTGACCTCCATACCCCAAGCTCACACTCGGCTCAGCAATTTTTCAGAAAAATTCTTGGAGAATTATTTTAGTCCCCTGACATGGCTCGTTGTCCAATTTGTGGTCAAGCCTGTCCATTCCAATTGCTTGCGGCGCACCTGTGAGCTGCAACGGTACATGCTGCCTGTCAAATTTCTCAAAGAGGACGCGTTGTGCTTATGTGGGCTCCTTTCATCCCTTTACCCACAGGATCAATCTCCACTCGGAATGCAATAGATCATGCCGAGGGCATGCTTCGCACCTACCAGTACGTGACCACGCCTTCCGAGACCGCCCATCGCATCATGACGGGAACCGCCAACAGGGAGCGTGAGGTCTACTTTCCCTTGCACCAGATTGTACTCTTGCCCCTCTTGAGGGACTCGGCCCCACGCCTCCTGGAGGCACTGATGCACGGTGTGGTGAAACCGGAAGTCCGTGACGAGCTACTCAGGAGTTCTAATCATTTTTCCACCAAGGACTAATAGGGCGACTCCTAACTTGTCTTGTTGCCAAACAAATAATTACTTAGACACTTGGGTCCAATTTTTCAGAACTGGTAAGTACCAAAAAATGGTTTGCACTATAATCACTTGCTTAGAGAAAAAAAAGGCTAGTCATCAACTGTCATTGATTGTACAGATAGAAATCCAAGCAATAGAGGGTATGATCATATTAAATTATTAATTTGCTAAAACCTCTGTACATGTATTTGTTTTTGAAGTGGAATAAAGGAATTTAACTCGCACCACTGTTTCATGAGCATGTGCTTATTTGCCTGCTGCAAACCTACAATACCCTGCAGAGAGATAATGAACGTAATCCACCTTGAACGAGAAATGGCCAAGAGGAGGGCAGATTGATATCTTGACAGGATTTCCTGTTGAGCTCTCAACCAAATGTGAGTAGGAATAGACAGCAGCGGATTATCTGAACCACTGGAGGCTGGACTTCATACATGAACAAGAACGGACAACGCCCTTAGAGCTTAGAAACAGTATCCGTTACAGTGGTCTTTCTAAATTCCATCCTTCCCGAATTCTGGCCTGCTAGTCTTTAAGATCAGGAAGTCAGATGGCTATGGTAGTTTCCTCACCTTCCACCTCTTTGAGCTTGGTTCAAATCCTGCCCACGTCGACAGGTGGATTGGGTCTTCAGTCCCTGCCAGATTCCAGGGTCTTCCCCTCAAATATCATCACAGGTTTTTCCTCCTACATCTTAAACTGAAACATGTCTTTGTCATCTTATATGTTTCCTCAGATCTGTGGGTTACAACGCCTGTGCACCTCTGAGGAAACCTTGATTCCACGACCAGAATATTTTAAAAGAAACAGTGAGCATGTAGATGCCTACGGCCTTAGTACCTGTATCTTGCTTGACCCTGCCTTCAGGGATTGGGTAGAATATTTGCACTCATCCCTGACTCTACAATCTTCATAAGACTATGCTTCAGGCATGCAACTTTTCCTTGGATCAGCTGATTTCCTGGTTTTTTTCTGAAAAATATTGTACCAAGTCTTGTAGAGATTCGTATTTCCTCATTTTTTGTCAAAGTCCAAGTTGCGTGACTGTGTGTTTGGACTCTCCGTCTGTGTATGTCTTCAGCCATCCAGAACTCTCTCCACGGATTCTTTCATGGCGTCGCTCTCACCGGTGCTGACCGCTAAGACCTCTCGGAGAGCCTCTTCGGTGTTCTTCCTGCAGCATCGTTTGAGCAACACCAGACATTCCGCACATCCATCAATGATGGGCTGTCTCACTGCCAGAAATCAAGCAACGAAAACCGCAAAAAACTTCTGTAAATGCAATTGCATGGTCATTTTTTTCAATGATTCTAAACACCAAATGGGCACCAGCTGCCAAAATCTGAAGTGGGGACTTAAAAACAAACATTTCAGCAGAGGCATTAATAAGCCCTTTACGAGTAAAATTTGAATAAAATCTGGCACACCGAGTTATCTGATTGCACATAAACATAGCAATTTGAATTCCCCAGACTAAAAGATACTGTTGCTATACCTCGAGATTCGGGGCAAGCTTTTGCATAGTGACCACCATCTCTGGAATGGTCTGGTTCCTTTGTGTCCTTATCCATTAAAAAGCGTATTGGTGCAAGGCGTCTCTTATGTAAATAAAGGAAAAGCTTGCCCCAAATCACGAGGTAAAGCAATAGCCAACAGCGTCTTTAGAATGGAAAATTCTAATTGTTATGTTCACGTGAACTTAAAGGACTCGGTGTACCAGATTTTATTCAAATCTAACGCGCAAAAGGCTTATTGCCTCACTTTTTGAGAAAATTGACAATTTCTTTAAACATAAGCTTCTTCATTGGTATGGGCCGCGAGCTGGACCAACAGAGGGCGCGATTTTCCCAGCAACGGAGGCTCCCTTGCTGGTAACTGAACAACTATGAAACACAAGTGTTGCAGTCGCATCGCTACCAACAAAATGAACACTCCCCACCAACATGGCTCTTTTCAACCTACGAGGGGGTTCTTCTCAATGGGGATTGATGGCAAGCTACATTTTGCAACGAATCATTCCCTCACCTTCGAAGATACCCCTCCTTGGGGCCGAATTTATCTCCACATTTATGCAAGTCAATTTAAGACTTCAGTGTTCCAGACGCCCCATGGCCCTGAATATAAAGCTGGAGTGAGTCTACTCTCTGGACAGTGTCACACTTCCTATGTTTTACACCTAACAAATATCAATCTATTATCCTACAATAATTGTTTTCAAAAAATGACAACATGCTACATGAAGATGGAATAATTTCAAAGGATGAACTCTGAGTTACAATGGCTACAGTGGATAATCCTGCAAGCAATTTCAGGCCGCATTTCTGTGTACCATGAATGTGAGCCATTCTAAGGGAAAGGCTGTTTGAACACAAGTTTTCAAGGGTCTCAGCAATGTTACCTTCTTTGTCTACGTGGCTGCGGTTGTCACAGGCTTCAAACAGGAGCTTCAGTAACACTTTGATGATTTCCTCCCAGTGGGCGGGGATCCTACAATTAAAAAAAGGAATCGGATCGTAATTAGCAGGATCTTGAGAAGTACATGCCATGGTCTACGTTCGAAGTTATTTTGACAGTTCTTTTTGGGTTTGACGTTAATTCACTAACTGTTTTGTCTAGTGAAGTGGTAAAAACCAAAGAATGCGAGCAGTGCATTTCATTTTGTGTTAGTGGGACGCTTTCACTTTTCGAGAATAAATTGACAGTATATTTGTTGATGTGCTTTTAGGTGTTTGCAGGAATTTGCCTTTATCAATTAACAATAGGAAGATGACACATTGTATTTCTGTGCAAATAATGTTTACCTTGGCCAGGATTGGAGAATGAGTGATTTGAGGGACTGTAGCATGTGCATTCTGGATACATCGTCGTGACCATCAGAGGCCTCAAGGTACTTTAAAATTACACGCAGAACTCGCTGGATGTTCATGTGGGTAAGACCAAAGAAATCACGACAGGAAATGAAGATGTTGAATAGCAAACCCCACTGTTTAGCTTAATCTCAACAGGTTAGACCATTGGGTCATAGGTCGTTGATTACTGCACTTTCCGGCTTTCACCATTGGGCAAGATCGATCAGCAACAAATTGTCAACCAGTAGTCGATTTAGACTGGTAACCTATGCATGAAGTATATGCCAGGCACAGGCAAATTTAACCAGTTTTTAAACGAACTGTCGCTTATCAAACTTGCCCTTTACTTGAGATTGTGCTTTTGTTATAACCTCAAGAATGTGTCCCTAAGCAGGATATTTTACTGTGAGAATGTAACGGATACCAGTGAGAGAAGCGAGAAACAACGATGTGATCATAGCATCCTTGGCTTTATATTGTAGTGACAGCTTAAGGGGTCACATACAATTAAAGCCACAATGAGCAGGGGGAACTGTGAAGACTCACCATCTGGTGAGTATCTGGCCAGTTTACTCACCTTCATGTGTCTGAGTATTGTGATGCCCATGCTGTCGATGAACAGGTGAAGATTCTTAGTGTAAGCCCGCCGGAGGGCCAGCTTCTGTTCAAACTCCATGCTTATAAGTATTGTCTGTAAGACGGTGTCGTATCGGTTTGGCTGTAGATGGAAGAGAAGAAACACTCCGATGCTTGAGTGTATACCCACTGCAGGCCAGTATGTTACAAACCTATGATTGCTGGCTACATATTGATGCGGTGCTGTCAGTTATTTTTAAAAATCTGTAGAAATCAGAAAGACTCTAAAAATCAAAATTCTGGGCATACAAACTGAAAACTGGCCCCAGAAGAGAACACATGAAAATTACTTCAGGAATGGTCTTTGTGTCAATTTCTGCTTGAAAGGCAACTTTGTGGGTAAAGCATTCCAAAGTCTCAAAAAGACTCCCCTTTACAATTTTAACCTTGTCTGTCAAACCGTGTGGTGTCTAGAAGCTAATGAAGACATTCAGCCATAAACGTGATATTAAACATTCTCGGTTTGGGGATTCCAAAATGTCGAAATCTGGTAACTTTCCAAACATTAGGACTCATTCTGAAGTGCCAGATCAAACAGTGTATAAAAACATTTCTGATATAATCAATTAACATATATGTTTTTAAAGTGTCTCGGACAAAAGTTTTGAAGCATTACTTTTCTTTGTTCATCAGCTTTATGTGGAGACCGCTCAATTACGGCAAGAATGCTGACGAGGCATGGCAGGAGTTGGCCAATCAGGGCAGGCTTCTGCGTGTATAGTTGATGGTGGAGCGCTTCAAAGATCACCATGGCCCGACCGTGCAATCGCAAATCAGTCGGGTCCTTGGCAGGGAAAATAAATTAAATGGAAACAAACAAAATATGAACTGTCACTGATTTCATTTTTGGGACGAATTGAATTTTGCCCCTGAGCTTCTGCTAGGATAGAAATATCAAGCTCTAACTTTAAAATTGTTGACTTTTATTCAATTTTAACCAAAAACTGAATCACACGGTAATCCGGAATTCTACCTTACTATAAAAACATAACTTCTGAATGTTTTATTTCATTCAACATTAACTATGTAAAGAGTTTTTATCAAAAATTCACATTTTTTTTAATTTCACAAATAGAGCTGCCCTCAAGCCTACCTAAATCATGTAGAATTCTTTAACAGCAAACCGTATTTTAACATCATAAATAGTACTGCAATATAGTGAAAAACTAAACTGCTCAGTTCTGACCAAATATTCTCTTGTAGCTTGACCTACCACATTCTTGATGATGTGCTGCAGGCACAACACGCCAAGATATTTGTTGTTTTCCTGGAATAGAACCGAGGAAATGAAAAATTGAAGACAAACATGTTTACTGTACTACATATTTGAAAACTTGAAATAAATTAAATGTCCATTTGTACATCTTTGAAAGAAATCTTTAAAAATCTGGTAAATAAACAGTGCAATGGTTGGGGCCATTGACAACCAAACAGGCAAGAAAGTGTCCTGTTGGCAACTATAATTTTCTTGTCGGGACACAACTTCAGTAAGAGACGGTGTGCTACTAGAAAATGTAGCTGATATTGTATATCGTGATATGTGTGCATTGCAGTATAAACCCATTCAGGGTTTCCCATGCAGCCACCCCCAATTATGTTCCCAAGTTTCAACACGTTGGTGCTCAGTCACGCCTACCGGTAAAATCATGAATGAGGCATTGTTGGAAAGCGTTTGTTCTCTACTTTGAGATGTTACCAAGTTTTTTTGCTAGAAAGTGTGTAGCTTGGCCACAGTAACCATTTAAATTTGGGTTTCCTTTTTTTTTTATACACCCTGTATATCCTGCCTCATATGGAAAAATTATCCTTCCGTGGGCGCCAGTGGGGAGGGGAAAGGGTGCAAGGGGGTGCTTGCCTCTCTCCCAGAAAAAAATTGAAAATAATAAAAGAGACGAAAAAAGGGGAAAAAAATAACAGATGAAAGGGGACAAAAATCACCAGTTTGCTTGAAAATTCCTCTAAATTGACCCACTGCATCACTAGCATTCATCAGTTTGCTGCTGCTCAATGCTTCCTCCCTTCACCCCCCCCTAGAAAAATCCCGGCGGCACCCATGAATTCTTGACGGAAATAAAAAATATTGCAATACAAATAATTTTCCAAAAAAATTGGACCCATTTCCCCAAATTCTGTGAGTAGAGCATGGCTACCTTGTAGTCGTCCACAAAAAGAAGCGAAGCGGGCAGAACAGAGTCTAGGTGCTGTCCCAAATGCGGATGCTGACAGGAAACAAATGTATAGGGAGAGAAGTGGAAGAGTTAGATGACTGTCATCAAGTAGGACGGGAAGTGTGAGAGGAGATTTTGGGATAGGATCAGAGACAGAAACATCTGAAACATCAATGCCCAAAAAAGAGCTCCATAAACAGACATAACTTGACTCCCTATGCACAAATACTATGCAACTGGCCTGGAAAAATTCAAAGTGTTTTTTAAAGGAAATGCTTCAAAGCTTTCCATGCGGAATTTGACTTTTTGCAACATTATATCACTTCCTGACTGCTGATAAGCCACTGCGGGGTGAATTAGGGATGTCCGTGTATGGAACTCTTATCCAAAATGCATTTAGGCCAACTCCATCTGCTCACTCTCTTGCAACAAAACTTTGAGAGAAAGGACGATGTTCTGAGACTTTCCCAAGTCAAGTTTGAGGTCTCACTTCAGCCTGGTGTGCATTTTCCGGACTTGTCCAAACTCAAATTTCTCAAGCCTGTGTCAACACGTTGACTGCCAACTATGAGTATACTCGTCACAAGTGTAGGGGATTCTGCCGCTACCAGTATACTTGTTGGAAATGAAAGGCTGGCATCACCAAAAAACACAACAAATACGCTTCTGGCAGTTTGGAGGAAATATATCCGTAAAGTGCTCATGTTCCAATGGAAACATGAAAGGTACCTTTCAAATATGCGCGCATGTGTACAAGGCTTGGCAATTGGGAATGCCCCTTTGAAATTAAACGTGGCAGTCAATGTGTTAAGAACCTTTCAGTAAAGCTATTTTAGATTATCAACAGAGAGTAAGATAACGAAATAAGATTAAAACTTGGTGCTTATTCAAGGAGTTCAAAGTAAACAGTGAGACGAGCTCAGTCACTTGCTCACTTTTTGAGAGCCAAAAACTTGGAGGAGTCAGGAAGCTTTTTAGCAGGAGTGCCTCCGGAGTTAGGATTACATGCTACAAACCTTCACTTGCAGAAGGCACCATCTGAATGCTTGTCTTGTTGCCGGTTCCCTGTGCCACTGGTCCCTTGTCAGTCGTTCCTTCAGCAAACCTAGGACGTCCTTAAAGATGCCCACGTTGCTTGACTGTCTGCACCAGGCTGGTCCCATCATGAGAAGTTCCGAGGCTGAGTTGCAGCCTGACATCTTGCAGAGCAAAGTGCAAAGACCTGAATTTGTGTCATGGAAAGTAGCGGAGACGTTCTAAGATAATTTTGCCAGTATCATCAATAAAACAACAGAAATGGGCGGGCATGTAACCCAACCCCCCTAAGTCTTATCTTTTATCTCATACCAGGTCAACTTTGCCAAAATAATCCATCATAACTTCAGCATTTAGGTACTTCCAAGATGATTAATATAATAAAAGGATTCGTTGAAAAGTTTGTACATGTTCAAATATTTTCTAGACACCGTGAGTTACATATCGCTTCTTACTTCAAATGCATGGTACAAATTGGACGCAGTTGGATTTTAACTTTAAATTCTTCATCACTACCATTGGTGTTCTGTCTTGATGTCTTGCTGGTCCACGGATGCTTCTCGCAGTGGCTAGCTGCCAGAACTACACAATGTGGGGCCACAGCCGAGACAACACCACTGACTAATTGCTGAGTTTTCTCCTTCCTCTCGTCTGTGTAACCCAGTGAACTTTGACCTTCATGGAGGTTTGACAAAATGGCGGCACACGTGGAGGCAACAACAGCAGTTATGCTTGCCGTTTCTCGGAAACAATCGTCTGTTGAAAAGAAAAAGTATAAATACATGTATATAACAGGTGATTTTTTTTTATTAGATCCCTAAAGTCCACAATCTTTCACTTTCAATGTGATTTTACACTCAATAGGATTTGTCAACCATGGTATGAATTCTCCATTTTTCATTTCTCACACCCTTTCTTGTTAAGTAGGGGGCAGTGAAGTAAAACAGGGTTAAGTTAGCGGGGTAAAAAAAGTCTGCTGACCTTCGTTTTCATTTGACAGGCTTTGGGGAAGCATTGTTCTCCCAACCAATGAGGCAACAACTTTGGCGACAACTCTTTTGACGTTGTCTGCGACATGTAGAAACCACACAGAATCTTCGCTGTCGTGCTGAAATGCTGCATGCACCTCTGCACAACGTTTCTCAATCTCCTAGAAATAGGAATGACATAAACTCAGTTTCAAAGCCTTACACAAACTTGCAATCAACTGAAGCCAGGTAATATTCTAAGTTCCTGTGACTGAATCTCAAGATGTCATGGACACTGTGATTCATGGCAACATTACCGCACACCGTTTCGGGTGTTTCCGATGGTAATTCTCACCTGAAAAATTACGTAGCCATCAGGTTAAGGGGAAGTACCACGAGATGACATTTGAATTGAATTGACCCGACCCCAAAACAGCACACACACATCCGTACCATGCATAATAAAAGCTATGAAAATTAAGGACTACTGCATAAATTGGGGCTCCAATAGACTCCCAGTGAGAGCTTCAGGCAAATGAAATGCACATTGTGTCAAAATTGCCATTTGCCAAAACAGTTTACATTATTTCAAATTTATAACGACGAGCTTGTTTTCAGGCAACTGAAATCGTTGACGTTACAAATAAACCTGATGAAATTATTGTCACACAAATAAGCAAAAAGTTTGAGTTACGTACATGTACATACCATCATCATACAATTGAGTACCTAATTGAAAGAAGGGCCCAACAACACATTTTTTTAGGTCAAAAGAAAAAAAATTGATATTTTCTGAAGGAGTTACAAAGGAATTCAATTAACTCTACTAGGCCAAACTGGTGGACTTGGGCTTTTCTTTTAATGAGGTATTCAACTGATCATACCCATATTTTTGAACCGGACTGTTTTTTCCCAGTTGTGATTGGCAGATGATTGTACTATAATTGATTGGTTCACATCAACTCAGAAGCTGGCCATGCTGACTATTTTAGGAAATGAATAAACACCGTAACCATGAAAGCATTATTTTCTAAGATGTCGACATGTGTCTCTAAAGTCAACATGCAGGTATCACAGTCAAAATGTTGAACTTAATCGCTGGATCTGCTCAGTCAGCACTGGTCACTCTATTTTTACACTGTACAATCAGTCAGTTCTGTCCAAATCTGTCGATCTTATCAGTCACTGAACTCATATTGAAACAGTCATGACTGTCAATAATGAAGAACTGTCATGCTCAAAATATTATATAGGCCTATAGATTGGCAATGGGGGTCACTAGTACACATCTATGCACCCGGGGCACTGTGATTGACTAGAAGTAGGCCCCTTTACCTTAGGCCTCGGGATGTAGAACCCTTTTCTAAAAAACTCAATCTCGTGGGGAGGGGCAAGGGTGTACATTATTGACCAACTTAAACACGTACACCAGTCCATACATGTGTTTTACGAGACACCTCTATATAACATGTAAAGGTAAGAAAAACTTTTTTTTTCTGTTTTAATTTTGTTTTTACTGATTTAATTCAACCATACAACAAATCCTCCTTCCATGAGCAGAAGCACCCCCTCATCAAAAGAGACACGTTGGTCCAGAGTGTTCATTTTGCTGGTACATGTACATGTAGCAATGCGGCCATAACGCATGCACTTCATAGTCTTTTGTGAACCAGTGAAGTGTAGTTCCGACAAATTCAACAAGCTTGACCCCTGAAAAGGGGTGTTGGTGCAGTATCTATCAAGGCAAGACAAGTGTTTCAATACTAAAGGAACATTGTCAGTTTTCCCAGATTCCGTTTTTGGGTTGTTGTTCTCTATTCTTGTCATGTGAGGGGTTGAGGACCCTGTAACCAGTCAACATTTCTGAGTACTACCACAGAACCAGTGCATAACCACGCACTTCACACTGGAATTTATGTGTACATGGTGTCTTGGCGCGTCTAATTCATGCTGATGCTAAAAATTTAAACTAAGTTCTTGTACAACCAGTAGCCTACATTATATTACTCAACTAGGAAAGAGTTCCATATACGAACAACACTTAAATTGATGCCCCTGTGCACAAACCTATTATAGATGTCACAGTCTCCTACTACTACCAGTACTAGGCTGTACTGTGTTGTCTGAAAAAAACCTGATCTGAGAAAGCGTTTTCTTAGTAAATGCTTCAGAAGTTTCTCAGCTAAATTTCACGTCTTAGGACATTTTACCACTTTCTGACCGCTGTTGTAACATTTTAAGGGAAAATAAGTGTCCGTATATGGAACTCTTTCCCTTGTAAAAGCCATAGGCCCTAACAATTGAAGTTAACTACGGTCATGACGGTACAACTACTGCTCCAGCATGTCCAGTGTCATAAAGTGGGCCCAGATACGGTAATTACCATAATTACCAATTGCCCCCTGCATTGACTGTCTTCCAGCGATGACAAAAGATTCTCCAGGGCACAAAGCCTAACTGTCTCTTCCATGATTACTTAAGCTCTTCCCGCAAAAATCAAATCCCTGACCGGATTACTTTGAGCTCACATTTCGCGCGTTTGTTGACAAAATCAGTACAAAACACGTGAGGCTTGCTAGCAGAATAGTATCTCTTGGGGGCGCCCTTCAAACAAAAAATATGAGACGGAGAACAGATGTACCGGTGAATGCTTTGTGGAGCGGAACCAGTCTAAGTAGTTGATTGATAAAGTTACGTGACGCAATACGTTACGAACGGACGTACGTACGTGACAAAATTAGAACTGACGATGGCGTCGGATAGTGCAGGTAATTGTCCCTTTTCAGTTACCGATGAAATATATCTCGCTTAATTTTTCTCCTTTTGCTCTTGGTAACTTTAGAAACATTTGATTCTTTGTGTGAAGTTTTGTCCTCGTTTACTGTGTGCTGGCCGATTATCGTTCCGTTTGACTTTTTGCCGGTACCGATCTTGCCGATACGCGATAGGCTAGTTTGTCGCTTTGTGTTTTTCGTCGAGTCATATCATGCGGTAGGGACAACTATCTCTGTTCACGCACTACCGGAAGGCTAGGCCAGCTTGGAGGTACCGGATGAAAGCGCTGGGCGGGGCTAGTTCAAGTTGTTGGATGAAGGCTGACTAAACGGCTTGGATTAGGTGTTGAAAGTTACTTCAAGAACGCTAGCTAACCATACTAACGTTAGGCCTAAGCACGCTAAGTCGCTACTCTTTCATGTCAGTGTCTTATGCCTAACTTAAGTTAGACTCTGGTTGTTATTTTCACCGGATGTTATCGCTAGGTCTTAGGCCTAGGCCTTTTTTTTAATCCACTTTTTGCTGTGAAGTCTCACTGAACTTCTGAATAGCCGGTAGGCCTAAAGCAAACTCCGCTATTCAATCTACTTTTTCCGTGAGTGAGAACAACTGTGAAGTGCCTGTAGGCCTACCTCTTAAAAATGCTTGCATAGGAGTTTCAGACTATGAGACCGAGTATTTACTGAAAGATTTGACATTTTTACTCACCAATCTCTCATTTCCACCTGACGATGATCGCACCGTTGAAGCCGTTTTGTTTATCATATTGTGCTTGTGCTAGGCCGGCAAGTCGCCAAGCTTGCTTTGCATTTTTGCTTCAAACGTTTTCAGAGGCGAACATGGTGTCTTGTTTTCTTTGCGCGACCGTCTTTACTGTGTGACCTGTATACCACTGTGACTCGATGTGTGCTGCGCTGCATAGTTGTGGCTGCATCCGAATCTGTTGCCTAGGGCTAGGTCTAGGCCCTCATTCCATTGGAAAGACACAATAACGACAGATCTAGTTGTAGCTTTGCAAGTCCGCTTTGGACATGGCTTGTGACAGATTGTAAGATCTTAGTAATCCCTGGTCTAAACAATATCGAGTGTTCTCTTCGGAAATGCTTCAATATTTTCCCTGCTAAATTTGACTTTTGAAGCAGTACTTTTATCACCCTCTGATGGCAAGTAATGAACCACTGCAGTGAGAATTTGTGGTGTCCATGTACGTGTATGGAACTCTTATTAGAAAAAGACTGATCATCCAAGCAGTAACTTGGTAAATGAGGATGGATTAGTAACATGTACTTTGTCTCATTTCAGTTATAAGTAAAAGTGTGACCAAATAATGGTGAAATATACACTTCATTTTCCTACTTGCGGTAGAAAACAATAATGCTGGCAATTTTGTCCTGTTTTGTTGCCTATAAACAGAAACATGTAGTTATGTGGTCAAGATACCATGACTGAGCAGTTGTAATTAAATTTGGGGTTTTCGCTTTTTTATCCCAGCATGACAAACAACATTTTGTTTTCTTTGTCAGGGCCAAATACGTAATCTTCTTAAGCACTGTTTCATATTCTCATTTTCAAACCTGAGGACAAAAATAATAACACACAAAGGCCCAGGCATGGTATGATTTTTGTCCTAGACACCGTTTTTGGTACCTTTATGCTTTTCTTTAGTATATTGAAGATTATTTGACATCTTTCTGTGGTTGAGAGTATTCAGAAGTGGACTTCGTTGAAGGTTTTTAATTGTCAACATTTTCATGGACAAAATGAGAGTTGTTAGAGTGATGTCGAATTACCTGTCTAGAGAGACTCTGTTCAGTACATATTTTAATTCTGTTCCAGTTTTGAACCAAAAATTGTCTCATTGAAAATATCTCTGAGAAAGGATTGTTGGTTTGGCTGATTGCCCTTATTGCCTGAAAAAAGGAAATTTATGACAGCAAAAATATCACAAACTCCAGCAGGTTTTGTGTTTAAATCAGTGCAAGTTAACATTGGGATGTTCTTCCCAGGATGACATCAAAGTTTTGGTCATGTAAATCCACATTAAAAATAGAAAAAAAAGACGCCCACGTACCTTTTAAAAATGGAACAATGAAATTGAAAGTAGCATTAATTAAAAATATAGGTGCATTTGTTATCATCAGTCATTTGTATTGTGTGGACCCTTCATGATTAGTGATCGGTTCATGTTTAAATGTTAACATTCTGCTGTCCTCTGCAACAGCAACTTGAAGATTAACCCTAACTCCTTATGGTGTGTGCAAAATCATATTACAATTGGAGGATTTAGGGCTGTTAGGGCTACAAAACTGATCACAGATAGTTTCATCTGAACCATTACCTTCACCAGCCTTTTTACCTTATTTTTGACACGTTAATTTCACACTACTCTTACTTTTTTGGCACTGATTTCGTCTCTTCAGGAAGAAATGCCTCGAGAAATTATTTTGTTATTACATGTGTGTGTTCTCGCCGAACTTATACAGATACATGTAAGAGGAGTCTACTGACCATGGCATAGTTGGTTAACTACATACTTGTACATGTACATGTACTTGCAGTGGTGATCCCCTTTGGTAGCGAGAAGTGCAATAAATACATGTATCGGACAGAGCCACTGTTCTCTGGCAGTCGCTCGGCTCAAAATCCAACACAGTGCTTTCCACTGTAAAGGGAAGCCATCGAGAATGTCCGGTGGGAAGTTTCTGGATTCGTCTTTACCAGACGCTTATTTGTTTTTGTTCCCCTCCGTCTTGTCGTTTGACAGCAACCTGCATGTACTCCAGGCTGAAAGAAAGCATCCGTGTGGGAGATGAGGACTTACAGTACTTCAATCTCTTGGCCTTACAGGATGAGAGATACGGTAAGCCCTGATCAATCACCTTGCATTGTGACCTACAGAAGGCTGTAGAGCACATATGTACATGTAGGCCGTTTTCCCTATCAACAGGCTGTGGCCAGGATAGGGCTGCATGGAATACTCAGACGCGCAATCGATTATTGTGTATTCAAGTACATGTATTGATTATTGCAATTGAATATTTAGAGGCTCAAAGTATCGAAATAAAAGCATTCTAAAGTGTTTCAAGGTGGTGTGATTTAACCTCATAGACAGCAGATACACACTGGTACATGTATTCCTAGCAATAAACCACAAAATTATGTTTCTTTCAGATATGCTCTTTTTAAATTACTTTGTGTGATGTGTGATCACAGTTCTAAATGTGTTTATATTTGGCAGTTGCAAACACTTCACCATAATATTCAATAAAGGTAGCCATTTCCAAAGCAGATTTATGTGGTATGCTGCCAGGTGTTGTATTTGCTTTTGATTTGATTTGATTTGATTTGATTTGATTTGATCTGATCTGATCTGATCTGATCAATATTTTTACAAAATATTATTACAAAAATAAAAATTAAAGAAAAGCAAACTCAACAATTCTCAAAAGTGGAAATAGTAGGGATATCGCAAAACAGAGATATGGACAAATGGGAAGAGCCACCAACGTAGGGCTGGATAGCTCAGTTGGTAGAGCACTGTTAAGGTGTTCCAGAGGTCACAGGTTCAAATCCCACTCCAGTTCATCTTTATAATCATTTATAAGCACCTAGTCAGTTGCTCTATATAGTTTCTGTCATAGTACATTAAAATACATTTTAAAAATCCAACCAAAAATTGAAAAGCCATCAATAATAAAATACAACATCAAACATACAACAAATCAACATGCTAACAGCAGTTATAGCGTGGTCATTGTCGCAGTTTCATCCTGTTTATGTCCGTGTTTCTTTCTCCATGTCGCAGACCGCCTGCCCTTCTCCATCCGTGTCCTCCTGGAGTCGGCCGTCAGGAACTGTGACAACTTCTACATCAAGGAGAAGGACGTGGAGAGCATCCTGAACTGGCAGGAGAACCAGGCCAAGAATGTGGAGGTGCCCTTCAAGCCGTCCCGGGTCATCTTACAAGACTTCACGTGAGTTTGCAAGGGCCCTACACCCGTCGCCGGTTGGTTGGTCTTGCCCTTTTAGAGAGATTCAGCTAGGATTGAATTGTCAGACCCTTCAACTTCCAAATAACTTTCAGTTACGTATAATCTGACATCCCTCAATCTTCCAACACGCAAAGGCTTGAGGACTGTCAGTGTTAGAAATTCCAATTTCTTTTATTGTCTGCACTGACATGACGTTTTTATTCAGAGTCGGCCGTCAGGAACTGTGACAACTTCCACATTACATTGTGGACAAATTACGTGTCCTTTGGGGAAAATCTTTTAAATCCATACTTGCTCGCTATTTTGCCTAACATCTGTGTCAATTTCAGGCCTTAATGAATGTGCAAATCAAGACATACTTAAAGATCATACACTGTGCGTTATGCTGTATGTGCCCCCCGCAAAAAAAGCATTAATAGATCCATATTTCAACCGAGTCACTCAGAATTTCAAACAGTCTTTCAATATTATTGGACAATATGTGAATGAATTGTATTCCCCGGAATATACTAGTAGGCCCACTGTCTGAAATGCTGTGAAAGCATGCCTACCACAGGGTCTACCAGGCTCAACGCCGTGTCACTAAGGAGATGTACTTTTTACTGTCACAGTGTAAAGATGTTGTCCATACCACTATGAAAAGCTTTGAATACGACAAATGCATAATGCCCTACAAATGACCTTTTTTTCTTTTGTTGCATTGTAATAGTCTCCGAAAGCTGCACCGTTCTCTTTAAAGGGAAGTTCTTTTCAAAGGCTGAATTATTCACAGCACTTTAAATATGCTCAAGGACTCAACACAAGCCTTATGCCCTTTTGGAAATTGGCTGCCCATCGCAGTAAAAACTGAAAATGTATTTCGTCTGCTGAGTCACAGATAAATGGCCCTCGCTATCAACAACAGGAAGTGCCAAAAAGCTGCTGGTACTTGATGTCGAAATATAAAAAAAATTGAATACTTCAGCTGGAATGGATCAGTTATAGTCAAAGTTTAATTAGATCTGCAGCTTGCCAAATTTGTGATCTTAAAATCTGGCAAAATAAGCGGGCAAAAGCCTGTGATCCCTCACCATTGTTTGATCAGAATGTAGGAACAAATTCTTCAGAGATATGCTGATAAAGGGGCAGGTTTTTTTCTGTTTTTGTTCAGTCTTGGTTTTGGGCAACGATATTGAGACCAATTTGAAATGGGTTTCCCGGTCATCCTTCATTTTTTTTGGAGTTTTGTCGTTACCCAAGTACATGTACCACTGTTTATTTCCCACAATGCACCCAGTACCTGCCCTGCCCCATTAATGCACACCACAAATTGCTTTTACGGACCACTGAACCTGTGCCATGCTCAGACAATTTGTGGGACTTGGCACTGCAACTGGAACTTATGCATGTAGCGTCAAGCAAGGAGAAAAATGGAAAGACAACAGTACTTGAGTGAGCTGTTAAGCTGTAGGGCCGTTTATAGCTTTATCAGCCATTTAACACATTGACTGCCTCAATAAGGTCACTGGGCGTTCCCATTTGCCAAGCATTGTATATTTCATGCATATTTAATGAGTACCTTTCAGGTGTCTGTTTGAACTTTAGCATTTTATGGATGTATGTTGGTAACATTGCCAGCAGCATATTTGTTTTGTTCTTGGGTGATGCCAGTGTATCCAATTTACATCACAATGGCCTTTTATTTCCTATGGGTATACCCGTACACCTGTGACTACGAGTATACTCCAGGGATGAGATATCTCAACTTTTTAGCTGATTTCAGCATTTTATTTCATTTTGGATTTCAGCTTTTTTTCCTCACTAGCTGTGTACAAAAGTATAGGAGATTTTCACAGTTCAGCTTCTTTACGCCTTTTTTTTTCAGCTGTTTTCAGCCATTTTTATCAATTGGTCAATCTCACCCCTGTATACTCGTCAACTGTCAACATGTTAATGATACAGCAGAGTGCATGCAGTGGGGGGGGACCTTACATGCAGCACATGCTGTTTTCAAGTAACAGTGGTCTTTTTTTCTATTGGTCAGGTGTCAGTGAACTTTCAGAAGAAATGTTTAAATGGTGAAGGGGAGAGAGTGTTGTGAAAGTGATGCCGTAGGGTCGGTAGCATGGGTTTACCAGATGGCAATTTTATGTTGGGTCTGGTTAAACGTTGTTTCAAAGCACCGGTCAGACAGTGCTCGCATTGTTACTTTACATCAGTGAAGAGCAAACTCTCGTATCAGAAATTCAAACATGAATGTTTACTGAATTGTGGCATCCCCGTGTCCCTTGTTTTGCCAACAGGGGTGTGCCAGCAGTGGTGGACTTTGCGGCCATGCGCGACGCCGTCAAGCGTCTAGGAGGTGACCCTCGGACCATCAACCCAGTCTGCCCGGCCGACCTGGTGATTGACCACTCCGTGCAAGTTGATGTGTCCAGGAGGTTTGTGATGGTCAACTTTTGGGACTTTGTCCCCCAAAATAGAAATGTGTCATAACCCCGCACCAGGCTGTTTAGGCTGATACTGTTTTTGCAAAATAGCAAACGTCAAGGTGGCCAATGTTGCCTTATATGCTTGAGCATTTTGCTGGAAAACAAGTTGTTGTAACTTGCCTGAATCTTTGTCCATTATTTAAAGGTTGCCAGTCAGGACCCTGCCCAATTAACCCTAACCTTCCCCAACCACACAGAATTAAACAGTAGTAAAGTATTT